AATGTACAGGCAGGTTACCTTTTTTATTTTTTTATTTTTAGCTCATCTTCATGTTTATGACGTCATATCCGTTCATTCACAGCCCGAAGCTTCAGTGTTGAGCACTCCTCTCACAGGGGCAGGATGTGTGATCCTCTGGAAAATATTTCTGCTGCTTCCAGAGCCGATGGGTGGTTTGAGTTTAGTGGCTTCATCTCTTTCCTGGTTAGCCTGAACATTGAAACAAAGGTGTTTCAAAATGTGTTGTTATTAATTGTTTATTTTTTTGTAAATCACACATGAACAAATTACAATCCAAAAGCCAGAAGTGCCCCCCCCGGACCATGTCAGTCCAGACTCTGACGTCTGCATCTAAATTGAAACATCTTTGATGACATCATGGTTTGTTTATGTGTAGTCTAAGTTGGTTATTTATTTATTAACCGTTATTTAACCAGGATTCCCATTGAGATCACAGATCTCTGTTGCAAGGGAGGCCTGAGCCTGATGTTTTTGTTAGGTTTTTTCCCATGGAGGAAAAAAAACCGAGTACCTAGAGAAAACCCACACAAGCACAAGGAGAAAATGCAAACGCCACATAAATCGAACCCAGGTTCTTCTTGCTATGAGACACCAGTGCTAACCCTTAAGCCACAGAGCTGCCAAATAAAGTTGTGATTTAATAGGGTTGTTGTAACAATCCACAMAGAGGTGTCTGTTATTTGATTGATCGAATTACATCAAGGAAAAAAACAAAAACACTGATCCAAATCATCACCATCATATAGCCTGATGTGGATCAATATATCAATCACAGACTATTGAGTCAAAYTCACATTATTTCATATCATGTTTACATAAAATCCATTCTGGCTGTAACCTCTCCTCAGTTCATCACTTTCATGCACCCAACCAAAGACGTAATACTGTAATCGTAGGTTTGGAGACTTTGAAACCAGACAGTTTAGATTATAAAATTAACTAGGGCTGCAACTAACGATTATTTTAATAATTGATTAATCTGTCGATTATTTTTTCGATTAATCGGCCAAATTATTAAAACGCTTAATTACATAAATATGAGTAGATATAAATTAA